ATTGTCCATCCATCCTTGAACCTTTTCCTCTTGTTTCAGATTTGGAATAAGATTTGCTGCATCCTCGTCCTACATCCCAACCTTTCGTACAGTTTGTATAATAGTTGGTTGGTGCTTTCTCTTTATAGTATACCTAAGTGTTACTCAAAATCTTCCTTCCAACTCAATGATACACCTCTGGCTAGTTGTCCCACTGCGCGGCCAAAAATACTATCTGGATGCCAACCTCTGCTAATGCGGCCAAATTAAACCCATTTCTTTATGGGTTAAGAAATGTACGAAATCCAAAACAAGGACCGCTGATAAGTTTTTAAGCAACAAAAGGAAGAGCACTGCATTGATAAAATCTCTGTATCAAAGGTTCACCAAATGCTGCTTGTTATGGATGACTTGGATAAAACATTCCTCGAGGTAGTAGAGAAGCATTTGGACCAACCATAGCGTGGCTTAATATTAGTGGTCGCTCAAAGACACAATGAGATACGTGTGAAAGCCATACCTTTCCAGGCCAAAAATATTTTCAGCATGTTGAAAAACTGCTTTGACCAATATTCGTTGGACAAATACCCATCAACTAAATACTGACATCTGACTAGTGAAGAGTGTCTTTCAAAATCAGACTGATTATTAAAAAACTATCTGTCAAGATTTCATAGAAAATGTAAACCATATATTTCATTGTCGACCAAAAACCATTCATTTGCTCTTTGTGTCATTGGACAGTTGTATAAAAAGATCTTGAAGAGACTTAAACCAACCCACAAGGTGTGAGAGGGCAAATGAAATGTCATATGATGACGACAATATAGACCATTTCTCCCATGGCAAAAGATGCAGACAAATTTTAAATATATTACAATACCGTAAACAAAAGTTTGGGAAACCACTCCCCGAAGAGAATGAAAAAAACAAACCCTGACTAGAGAAAGGACTATATATTTAATAGATTTAGTCAAAAGAGGCCAAAACAAGAAAGATGCCAGCGCTTCAAACTAAAGAAAGGTGACCAAAAGTTAAAAGATGAGAGGAAATACCTAGAAAACGCGACCCAATATGAATAATACTATTGTACTATGACAGAAAACAATGGGAACTCGACATGTGACTCGTCAATTCGTGTTCGTAAAAATAGAAGGAAAGTATTACAAGAGAATATTATGAAGTTTTAGGCAAACATTGGCAAAACTGGTACACACCTGCCAAGCAAGAAGATAAAACTTACTATTTCAAGACCTCAGTTTTCAACTTGTTCAAAGTTCCAAGTGGCTATTACTTTCAAAGAACATTACCTAACAAAGTATAAGGACAACTCCATCACGAACCAATATGCTGGTAAAAGGAAGAAGTGAAAATGACGACTAAGCCATTTCATATACCATGCCGTTGCAAACTCTGTCTATTGATAAGTGGCCATTGTAGTCTTACTTTGTCCGTTGTTGTCGTATATCTCTGTAACGCGAATTGCTTGTATGGTTTCCTATTCTCCCTGCAGTGTTCACTCCCAAGTAACAAGTGTTATAGCAAACTAACAACGTCGTCTTCTAACATCAATCCTTTACACTTTTTGTCATGCGTGGCCAATGCCCAAAATTTATTGCTTATGCCAACCTGCTTGAGATGTAGCTTAAATCTTAGTAGTGGACTTGTGCAGGTATAACGTTTTCACGCTGAAATCGTCTTTACTTCACCTGATTCCTTTGAAGAGTTTGCACAATACAAAAAAACCCCCATGTCGGACTATTTGAGGTCCAAGTTTTCCCAAGAACCCAGAACTGTTTTTCTTGGGGGTCTGGTAGATTCATTGGAACCGTAAAATAGACCCGTACTAGTATAATGTTTGAAGACATTTATCTGTCACTTTCTAATCTGTTTTTTTCGAAGCCTCTATTTTTCTAACTCATGTTACATTGTTTTGTGCTTATATATAACATCTTGAGCAGTGAATTTAAATTATGTGCATCCTCTCATGACATAAATCATCTACATCTAATGTATTCTCATTCGTTCGTTATGTCTCCTCGCGTCACCCTTTGTTAAACCTTTGTGGAAATTCAGCGAGGTCTACACAATTTAATATCATCCCCACCAGCTTTTCTTCAACCTTCCTTCAATACTTTTCCGTATAGCAAACAGTTGTAAACTGTGGTAGTGATGGTTCTCTTGTACTGCTTTCTTCATAGTACTCATTACCGTTTAACATAAAGGTTTATCTGCTTTAGCATGGTTGCATAAACGTCCTAAACCCATCTGTATCGGCTTTAACTTTAAAAGTCTCCGTGTCCATTTCATGTACCAGGTCAACCCTTCTTCATTTCGTTATTCTTTTCATCCACATATATCCTCTATTCCGCTTTCTTCTCTAACTACTAGCCACAATCCTATCTGCTTTCTTTCAGGCTACGTTTTAAGTCTGTTATTTTCAGATTATTAGAATGTGTATGCAGGTCTTTTAGAAATAATATTTTCGCTTTTTCAGCTCTTGTTCACTTCACTTGACATTTTATTCTGTAAACATAATGTGTTTGATCTGCTAGTTCAAGGATGAGTATGTTCTTTTGTTGCATTTTTAAGCATTGTTAAAGCTCTTTCTTCTTCTTTTGGCTCTATTGTATTGTCAAGAGTATGTTATATGACAGCGTCTAAACGAACATTCTTGGCAAATGTCAAAAGTCTTTTAGATGTTCAGAATGGCGTATATACAAAGAAAAATTTTTCTGAGTAAATTTTAAAAAAATATTTTTTTATCCGATAGAAAAGATGGCAAAATTCATCTCAGTAAATAAGTACATGACAGAAGTCAAAGATAAGTTAGCTCCATTCGCATATTTGAATGTTTACTTCTACCATTTTGAAAAGTCTACATTTGACAAAGTTTGGAACATCGAACCAGTTAAGTTTGCTATTGTGACTAAAAATGGTGCGAAATTTGAAGACTTATACATTGACGGTATGTTAACAGTCAAAGAAAGTTTTGACAGAAGGTTTTCAAACCTTAAAGAAGGCAAAGCATACAAACTTGTTATACCTTATGAACCAAAGAAAGCAGACGACTATGAATATTATGAGTCTAAGATAGTTGAAGTTCAAGGTAAATTGGGTAAAAAGATTTTAGAGTCTAAGCCAGTGTTTGCCCCTAAAGAGGAAGAGAACATTGACATTGACCCAGAAATGTTCTAAAAATAAAATTTTATTTTTACATGTCAAATTTCTTTTTTCTGGAACTGGTTCAGGTTCTTTCTTCTCTTCTTCTACTTTCTTTTCTTTCTTTTCTCTCTTCTTCTTCTTCTCTGGTGGAGTTATGTCAAATTTGGCGCAACCATATTTATGTAAAAGTTCTTTGTCCTTTAATAGCTCATCTATTCTGTTTTCTATTTCATCTTCAAGAACAGCGCATGTGTCTTCTTTGCATTCTAAGAACTTTTGTTGGACTTCATCTTTCCAATCGGCGTCATCTCTGTCAACAAGTCTGTCATTGACAAATTTTAAGACTGCTCTGCTTAATGTTTTATGGTTCTTGTCATATTCCCAGAAACAGAACTTTAGAACAAATTCACCTTTCTTGTTTACACTATGTAAGATTTTATGGTCTACAGATGTTTTGCTGTCGAAAAGCTTGTCTCGAATATAGATAGCGAAATCGCTAGACATTTCCTAAAAGATAAATTTTTAATTTTTCTAAAAATATGTTAGAAAAAAAGTTTGCTGACATTGACAAGAAATTTGAGAATGTTTTAAACAAGAACAAGAGGAAGTTAGAAAATGCTCAGATAAAACCCATACATGACAAGTTCTTATTTGCTCAGAATGGTATAACAGGTCTAATCGCACCACCTGGGTCGGGTAAGACTTTCACTTATCTTAAAATGGCTGCACAACAACAAGAACTAGATGAGAAGAACCCATTCTATGAGTTAGTAGTCATTTGTAGTACTTCTGGTCAATTTGACCAAACCGTCAATTCGTTCAAAGATATTATAAAGAAGTCTAAGTTAGTATGTATAAAGGATACTGAGTTGTTAGATTGGATAAAGAAGTACCAAAGAAGAGTTTTGAAGTATAATGCTATAAATGAGTATATAAATTCTAAGTTTAAAGACCCAAATGAGGAAATGCAGAGAATATTAGAGAAGAAACACTTCAGAAACAAACAGAAAGAGATAGAATACATTTCGAAGAAATTGCAATCTTACGATTGGAAGACTTACCCTCATAGATGTCTTCTTATCTTAGATGACTTTGCTTCTCATCCTTTGTTAAAGAATAGAGAACAAGACATGTGTCGAATTCTTAAGAAGCTCAGACACTTTAACATCTCAGTTGTCATTTGTGTACAGACAGCAAAGAGTTTAAGTAAAGATGTAAAGAGAATACTGACTGACATTATACTTTTCCCCGGATTGTCCGAAGACGATTTCATGGAACTTATGAAAGAGTCCATGGCAGGTAAGTTTGACAGACATGAACTATGGGAGAAGTATAAAGTCATACAAGACCCTCATACTTCTTTCAGAATTCATATCTACGCAAACAAAGTTCAAATTGTAAAAAGTCAAGCTTGAAAATGTAAGTGTTTTAGTCTTAGTCTGTTGTGGTGCTGGGGCTGTCGGTTCTTCTGGCTTTGGAATGGACTCGGTTGGTGGTACGTCGGACATTCGTTTGTGTCCTGTCGGAAGGAAGGACTTTTCCTGTCGGAAGGAAGGACTTTTCCTGTCGGAAAGAAAAACTTTTCCTGTCGGAAAGAAAAATTTTTCCTGAAGGTCGGCCAAAAAGTTCTCAATTTTCGAAAATTTGAATGGTTTACGGACGGACAACAGAAAAAATTTTTCCTGTCGGAAAGAAAAACTTTTCCTGTCGGAAAGAAAAACTTTTCCAGTTGTCGGGAAATTTTTTTCTTGTCGGAAGGAAGGACTCGGAATGCCAGAAGGATTTGACAAGACAATTTACCATCTAGAGCTACCTGAGCCATCTTTGGTGTCAAGCTTGAAAAATAAATGGTTCATTTACTCTTCCTCTTTGAAGTTATCGAAATACTCTGTTATCTTTTCCTTCAGTAGCGGCAAATCTTCTTTGAATGTAAGTATTGTACAACCTTTCATATCATAGTGTGTCTGAGGTAACGTATCTTGAACTATTTGTTTCACATCTTCATTTGGGGTCATTGAAATCGGTAAGTTTTCGCGATAGAACCAATTTCTGTCAGATTTGTAAATCTTAGCAAGGTCGTAAAAGCTTTTGTTGTTTCTTCTGACTAAATGCAACATAACCATATCTCTGTCTTCTTCATTTTCCATCTCTTCAGTATAAATCATATACTTATAGTTCTTTTCCTTACCTTTTGGTACCGAACGTGGTATTCTTTTCTGAACGCTTTTGTCTTTTGCTTCAAGCTTGTTCTCTAGCTCTTCACGTTCTTGTCTATGAATTTCGTCAAGAAGTCTGTAAATATACCAAGCATAACGAGGCGAAGCCCACATTGCAACAGCATTTACAAGAAGTCTATGTACATAATATCCTCTCAAACCGTTTGGCAATTTTTCACGATTTTCATAGAGTTTTGGCGACTGGGGTTTTTTACCTACTCGCTGTTCTTCACTGTTTTCATGAGTTTTAGGCGACTGCGTTTTTTTCCCTACTCGAGTTTTTGCGACTACGAAAAAATCCGTAGTCGAATTTTCAGCTTCATTTAATAGTTCTTGTGTGCTTTGGTTCCTAAACCAGTCTTGTGGTTTCTTAGTATCTGGAGCAAAACATGCTGTCAAAATACTTTGCATTTGGTACATATCGTCTTTGACTGAACGAATGAGACGGAGTTGTTTGTTAAACTGAACCCACTCATATTCTTCATTTATAGCTTCATGGACTATAACTGTTGTTGTGTTCTCTGTTGTTGACATATCTGTCTTTACATACAAAATAAAAAAATAAATAAAAATAAAACTAACTTTATTTTTTCTGACTTTCACAAAAGACCAAAAATAAACGCTTTACATGTATTTTTCAGCAACTTCGTCAAATAATTTTATAGCTTTATCTATCTCATCTACTTCAAACGTTTCTTTACCTTTTATGGGAGCACCATACATTTTCTCAAACTTTTCAAGTAGTTCTGTTTCAGCAGCTCTCATATCGTTAACGAACACAACCTTGACTCTATTGACTGTACTGTCATATCTTTGAGTTATATTATATGTTCTTCCTATCTTATATCTCTTTGTATTGAAGTCCTTCGGTTTCTGAACGATGTAAAGTAAGCCTTCACTGCAACGTTCCGTATCGAATGAACCATATGTTATGAAGTTATATCCAACAACTGGGTCAATCCATAACAAAACTATTGGTATAAGACTTTTGTCTATAAGATATGCTGTAGTTCCATAGAATCTTACCGATATCATAAGCTTAGGATTTCTTGTCAAAATTTTCTGAGTAGAAGCAATTTTAACCCAATGCCATGTTTTCTTTTCAAATGGAGATATAATGTCTGACAAAGAATATTTGTTGTATTTCTTTGAGTATCTTACGTTTAAATCACCTATTCTAACCAATTTGGTGTCATTGTCTATCTTTTTAACTGTTTCAAACTCAATGTTTAACATTTCTGTTCTTACATACAAAATAAAAAAAATATTTTATAAAAAACTAACTTTATTTTTTCTGTCTTAAGGAAATTCATGAAATTTGGTCATTTTTCAGCAAAAATATATTTTAGGTGAAGAGGTGACATCTCACCCGTTTTCTCACCTGTTTTCTCACCTCATGAATTTTCATGATTTCTTCGTATATGTTTTGTCAAGACTTCATCGTACATTCTTTGTCATGATTTCATCGAAACTAAACGTATATGTTTTGTCAAGACTTCTTCGTAATGAGCGTAAATCAGACAAAAATAATGTTTAGGTGAAGAGGTGACATCTCACCCGTTTTCTCACCTGTTTTCTCACCTCATGAATTTTCATGATTTCTTCGTATATGTTTTGTCAAGACTTCATCGTACATTCTTTGTCATGATTTCATCGAAACTAAACGTATATGTTTTGTCAAGACTTCTTCGTAATGAGCGTAAATCAGACAAAAATATATTTTAGGTGAAGAGGTGACATCTCACCCGTTTTCTCACCTGTTTTCTCACCTCATGAATTTTCATGATTTCTTCGTATATGTTTTGTCAAGACTTCATCGTACATTCTTTGTCATGATTTCATCGAAACTAAACGTATATGTTTTGTCAAGACTTCTTCGTAATGAGCGTAAATCAGACAAAAATAATGTTTAGGTGAAGAGGTGACATCTCACCCGTTTTCTCACCTGTTTTCTCACCTCAGTTATTTTATAAGCGTTTTACATGAATTGTACGATGTATATTTGAAATCCTGAACAATTTCGTAGCTTCTATTTCTTCGCTGAGGATATCAAAAGTTTTAACAATGCCGAAAGTCTCTTTATATTTCTTCTTGACGTCAGATAGAAGGAAATCTTCTGCTGTTGGATAGTTTTTGTTCAGAAATGCTAACATATCCATTTTATTTTCTGCTGGTTTTTCTGCTTCTTTCTTTAAGTCTGCATAGTCGTTTCGCATACGTTCTATCTCTTTGACGGAGTAGTTATATTTCCTAATTGCTGCCTTACATTTTGAACATTGCGGGTTCATTTTTGCGTTATACATTGAAATAAAACCAGCTAAAACAACTAAGGCGTCAATTGCTCTCTTCATCTCAAACATAGCGGGTCTTATTTGTTCGTTCCATACTTTGCCTCTTCTATCTTTATCTCTTATTTCCCAAACACATTTTGCAACTAATGAAACAAAGTTATCGTAAGTCTTAAACTCCTCAGATTTATATATGTCAGAAACATTTTTATATACCATGTCGCAATCTTTGTCCATAACCTTATGGTTGCAATGAAAACCAAGGAATTCAATAATTTACCTTTCGTATGAACTTCTATTTCTACTGAGTCAGTTGGTTTCACTTCAATTTCGTCAAATTCGGGAATAGTGAGTTTTTGCTGCTGAATTTCAGGCAATTTGGGTAAATGGTCAATAATGTCCTGCATTTCATAAAGATACTGTTCATTTGTTTCATCTTTCGCACTACAGTCTAAATTACTTGTTAACAATTCCTGCTTTATCTTCTGGATTTCTGTTTCAAAAGTATATGAAGAAGGAATGAAGTTTTTCATTTCTACTAACATTGACGTAGGATTCATGACTAACGAGTTTGGTGAAGTTGTTGCTAACATGTTCTTACAATAAAAATAAAAAAAAATATTTTATAAAAAACTAAAATATATTTTTTATCTTAAGGAAATTCATGAAAATTCATGAGGTGAAAAAACAGGTGAAAAAAGAGGTGAAATCTCACCTCTTCACCTAAACATTATTTTTGGTGTAAATTTATGACAAAATGAACGAGGTCAGGATGTATGTTGCTGAATTCATTCATAACACCCTTTGTAAGCTCATAAAATGCTTGTTTTGAGGTCGAGCCACTTTTGGCTCCACCGTATTCTTTCAAAAACTCAAGAATTTCCCGCATGAATTTTGTATAAAACTAACTTTATTTTTTCTATCTAAGGAAATTCATGACAAATTCAAGAGGGTGAGAAAACAGGTGAGAAAAGAGGTGAAATCTCACCTCTTCACCTAAACATTATTTTTACTGAATTTAGCAACAACTTTCTCTCAATTGGAGCTGTAGCATACTCTTTGCGTAAGCGGTTCAGACCTTCTTCGAACTCTTGGTCTCTCTTCGATGTGGATTGAGATTGGTAGTAATTTGGATTGAGATTGGAATTGCTGGAACAACCAAGGGTTGGAGCTGTAGCATACTCTTTGCGTAAGCGGTTCAGACCTTCTTCGAACTCTTGGTCTCTCTTCGATTTGGATTGAGATTGGAATTGGTAGTAATTTGGATTGAGATTGGAATTGCTGGAACTGAGGTGCAGGGGCTGGTGCTTTAGGTTCTTCTGGTTTGGGAATGGACTCAGTTGGTGGGACGTCGGACATTCGTTTGTGGCTTAACCGTCGGACCACAACGATAAAAATCTCTGCTACTAGCAGTACTGTTACTGACAGTAGCAGTACTTTTACTGACAGTAGCAGTACTTTTACTGACAGTAGCAGTACTTTTACTGACAGTAGCAGTACTTTTACTGACAGTAGCATACTTTATCGTCGAAAACCCTCTCAAATTTTCCTTTTTACTGCTCGTAGCAGTACTTTTACTGACAGTAGCAGTACTTTTACTGACAGTAGCAGTACTTTTACTGACAGTAGCAGTACTTTTTACTGAACAGTAGCAGTACTTTTCTGACAGTAAGCAGTACTTTTACTGACAGTAGCAATGGTCGAGGTCGAACCTACCGACGAGGCAATTTACCTAATTGAAATTAACGAGCTTGTTAAAGACTTCCTCAGGCAGAATGTAAAAGGCAAGCTTGTTAACTGTTGGATAACGGGAAGGGCTGCCTTGAATCTCGAGACTTCGACTGGAATTCCAATTCAAATACCAGACGGGACAGCCTACGACGACATAAAGCAAGCAAAGAAAGAAGCTCTTCTCAAGTTCTTTGCCAAGCGTCCTTGGATACTACTTCCAAACAGAGAGAACCCTTTCCCAAGAATGAGCCAAATTCTCAAGGGTCTCCTTCACTTCTCGGGTCAACCATTCTACATAACCTGTGAAGGCGACATCCAACCAGTTCAGTAAACATCTCATTTTAACTTACTTTTTTTATGTTTTTTGTGAAAGTGTCAAAAATAAATTGTTTTATTTCATGCAATGTTTTATTTCTGTGCCGTCTTCAAGTATGCCCCAGTACTTACGCTTGGAGAGGACATGAACTTCGGTGAAAATTTTGTCCAATTTAAAACAGCCCATCTTCTCACCGACCATTCCCATTTCAATGAGTTTGTTGTATCCTTCTTCGTTCGTCATGAGTGCGTCAATGTTCTCATAGTAAACCTTCACTTTGGATTTGACTTCGGAGAAGAATTTGTTGTAGTTGTCAAGGACTGCCTTTGCGAACTGAGGGTAAGACCAATGTTCGACAATAGGTTTTAATGTGGTTACTAAGCCACTTTGACCTTGAGTGAATTCGTACTTCAAAACAAAAGGAGAAAACCTTTCAACAAAGTTGTCGACCTTCTCATAATGTTTACTCTTCATCTCTTGAGGTTTCTTAATGGAATATCCCCATGTCGAATTCATAAGCAATTTGAGTGTCATTGCAAGTTTGGGGTTTGAAGCTTTCCTAATATCATACAGTTGTTGTATGACTTTTCCAACTGTATAGTTCCTTCCCGGGAACTCACCATCTTCGTTTGGAATTCCAGTCGGGATATATTGGACGAACCTCATGTACGCAGCGTTAAGGTCGACATAGTATATTTTTTCATATGAGTCGAACTTATCGCATCCAATGGGTCCGGTTCGTGGAAATTCAAGTGAGTCTCTTATCTTTTGAGAAACTTCTCCTGTTATCTCATAAACATCGTCAAAGCAACCTGTTTCATATAAAATTTTCTGACCTAACTCAGATGCTCTCCAATACAATTTGACGTCAATTGGATGTCTCAATGGAAGTTTGTTTATAGCATCTTGAAGTTCTTGCAACCTCATTGGAAGTTCTTCTGGTTCAGGTTGGTATCCGAACAATCCAACTCCTTTTGGAGCTGTGTACTTCTTTTGTACTAGAACTTTGTCTGGAACAACTTTTGGTCTTGCTAACAGTGAAAAGTTTGTTTCGTCTTTTGGTACAAAAGTTTCTGTCAGCTTGTCATCTGGAATTGGTTCCAACAAACCTTTCTCGAAAAGAATGTTTACAGCTCTGACAATGTTGCACTTGCCTTTTCCGAACAATGGGTTTGTAAGACTTTCGTTCAACATGAAGT